CTGCCTGACCAGGGAGTCACCACAGCGCTGACTCCGTTGAAGACCCCCTGCAGTGTCCTTGGAGGCCTCGGGGTTTCTGGGCAGCTCCCGGTGGTGCGGGGTGCTCCGAGCTGTTGTGGGAGTCGGGCTTCCTGCGCCACCCCAGCCGGCGGAGCAGCAGGGCTCCGGGCACCCCGAGTGTGGGGTGCCAGGTGAGGTGGGGTGGGTGTTCCCGCTTGGCCCACCCGGCCTGACCCAGAGCAGCCTAGCAAGGCCTGGCCGGCCCAGCCTGGTGGCCAGGACCCTGCGGACCCGGGACCCCCCGGAGCTGGCCGGAGCCGGCCGTGCAGCCCGGAGCTTGCAGGGAGGACCACACCCCTCGGTGAGTCTCAGGACAGAACGTTTCCTCTTCGTTTTATGCTGATGTGAAATGCCTTGTCTTGAGCTGACTAGGACGTGTGAACTCAGTTTCTCACTGGGGATGTTTCCCAGAGAGCAGGAGATGGGGGGGAAGCCGTGGTGGGGGCCGGACCCTTCTTGCTGACTTCTCGGTGGGGCGGGTTGGCGGTTGACCTGGGGAGGGGCCACCCTCCCTCCCCAGGCGTGCAGGTGCGACCCAAGGCCTCGGGACACTGGGAGGTGGCGGGAGGGTGTGTGCAGGGTTGGGAGGCTGCCGGCATTCTGGCCCCGGGCAAAGCCCTCACAGGTGGCTGCCCCTGCTTCCTCCGCAGGTGCCGTGGGTGCTGCGGCCCCAGGGTGGGCGCTGCGGCCCCAGGGTGGGCGCCCCCAGAGTGCGGGCGGGAGCGCGAAGGCGGGCCGCTGGTCTCTGCCCCTGGCTGAGGCCGGTCCCTCCTGTGGCTGGACAGAGCCTCCCGCAGGCCTGCTGCGGTCTCACGCTCTCCCGGGGCTCCTGCCGGTCACCAGGGGGCTTGCTGCTCTCTGTCCCCGTCCTGCTGACTGCGTTGGTCCTGTGGGGGTGTCGGGTGCAGGCAGTGGACAGTGCACTGGACGCACACTGCCCCAGCCAGTCCTGGGGTCCCCTTTGGACTTGGGGACTCAGGGAGCAGCGGTTAAAAGGGGAGCGGAGCGCGAAGCTGAGCGAGGGCGGAAGGCGGCAGCCCCTGGCACGGGTCTCAGGGGGACACGCCACACGGACGCAGGAGGGCCGGGCAGGGCAGGAAGGACGGGCCTGGCCGGGCCCCGGGGGGAGCACACCAGCTCCTTGCGAGGTCAGGGGTTCTGCATGTCGCCCATGGGAGGTCGTTGGTAGTGTAGGGAGCAGAGCTTACAAAACATGTATGTTGTGAGTCAAATCCCCTTTTTGAGACCAGAGGACAGGGGAGATACACTCCAGATGGGCTGCAGGAAGTTCTGCGCCCTGTGGAGCCCCAGACTGTCTCCGGGCAAGAGGCCGCCCCAGGAGGCATGTGGTGAAGTGTGTTAGGTCATCTTGCTGAGCCTGTGTGTGTGTGTGCTGCGTGTGTGTCCACATGCGTGCACTTGGTGCTTATGTGTGCAGGTGGAGAGGGGCTGGGGGTTCCTCCCCAGCAGCAGTCACAGGCATTGGGCTGCCTGGCGTCCGGTGCGTGGCTGGGCATCTCCCCTTGGTGTGGCCTTGTCTGGAGTGTGTCCCCGGCTCTGGGCCTGTGCTCAGCGTCCAGGCCGCTGCCTCCTGGACACGGGTCCTCGGCTTCCTGTCCTGGGAAGGTCCCCAGGCTTCCTGTGGGGGCTGGCTGTGTGCTCAGAGGGGGGCTGGGCTGGCCGTGGAGCCTGGGCGGGAGGCGAGGGGTCCCTGATGGCTGGGCATGGACGGCAGCACCCCGAGGGGCTCTGGTCACTGTGGCTGGGATGTGAGGTAGAAGATGACCTTTTGAGGGTCATTTGCCCGGGCCGTGTCCCTCAGGGGCCTGGGGTGCATGCGTGAAGGGGGTCAGCTGTCACCTGGGGCACGGGAAGGACCGAGCACCCGCATGCACGGGTGAGTCCTGGGGGACACGGGACAGCACTGGGGCGCCAGGGACGGCGGTGCTGGCAGAGTGGTGGGGCGAGGGGGGCAGGTGGGACGGTTCTGGGGGACGGAGCTGTGGGGGCAGGGCTGAGCAGGGATCGGGGTGAGCCACTCCCAGGTGGGGACCAGGTCGGCCTCTCGGAGTGAGTGTGAGATGCGGGAGTGAGTGTGAGATGCCGGCTGGTGGGGTCACCTGACCCTCTAGGCCCTGAGGGCGATGAGTCAGGGACTGGCCGTGGGGCACTGAGCTGGCCACGGGGAATTTCCTGGGAAAGGGAGTCTGGCACCGGCAGAGCGGGGCCCGTGTGCCCGGCTGGTCTCTGGGAGGCGCGTCACTTAGCGTCACTTAGCGGGAACAGCGGGATGTGGGAGGAGTCACCCCGCTGGGCAGTGAGTGGCACCCTGCTGTGTGTTCCCCGCCCATCGGCCCACCTCTCTGTGCGGCTGGCTCCTTGGGGCCTGCATCATGGCGCCTTGTGGGGCTGACGCCTCGCTCGCTGGGGCTCCGTCCGGTCTGAGGACTGTCGTGGGCATCAGACCCGGGCTGGAGCACCAGGCACAGCAGCCCCGTGGCAAGGGCCACGTTGTCTCACGCACACATTTACACACGCACACACGGGCCTGGGAGCCACACAGCGCCCTTCCTCTCGGTGGGTGGGGTGCGGCTGGATCGCGGGTGGTTTTCCTTCACGCACGTGGCCCTGCGTGTGCCCTGCTCAGCTGAGTGGCCGGCCCGGCCTGTCCTGCGGTCTGGTGGCCTCAGCAAGGCGTGTCCCGAGAGGCCGGTGCTCTGTCCTGTGTGTGGAGCTGCTCGGCCGGGCTCTTCCCTGCTGGGAGACCACAGAGCTCACCAGGTCGTGGCCGGAGGAGTCTGTGGTGTGAGACCTTGGGGTGCACGGGGGGCCATCCTCCCTCCCTCCCATCGGGCAGCCCGAGCTCTGCCCCTTCGACTGGGGCTGCTGCCCCCCAGCTCCCTGGACCTGACCAGGGACCCCGGACAGGCCCAGGCTTCCGCACGGGGACGAGGGGCCCCGGACACCTCCCCGGGCTGCTGTCCTCGGGGCTGGAGGCGGAGGGGTGGCTTTAGCGCTGCCGGCTGGGCGGCTGCTGGGATGGCCTGAGCGCCTACGGTTGGGACATGGGCTGAGCAGCTGTAGCTGCAGCCTTGGGGGCAAAGGTCGGCGTGCAGGGTGAGACATTAACCGCTGTCCTCGTGGGCGGTGCTTGTGATTTCCTCCTTAGCCTGAGCGTTCTCGTTGCCCCTGGAGTCAGTTCGTGGCGACAGCTGCCTGGGGAGCGTGAGGCCGGCTGGGCCTCCGGAGGGGGAGGCCGCCACCCACGGCGTGGGAGCTCGGCCGGGCCTGGGCAGGGCGGCACCCGGCAGGGGCTCTCCCAGGCTGTGGCCGGGGCTGGGGGCGTCCGGGCTCCAGCGAGTGGCTGGCGCTGGCAGGGCCTGGCCCCCCTGGTGCTGGGGAGGTGTCGTGGGGCGGGAGCGGAGCACAGAGGGTTAATACCTTTGCTTTATGAGAGAAGGGAACTCCCTTTTCACGGTTGTAGGGTCTGGTCTGTGCAGATAAACCTCTGAGCAGGAGGCTGCCCGCTCTGTCCATGGCTGCCGGCCCCTCCCGGGTCCCAGGGCCTCCGGCCCCACGAGCTGGTGAGCGGGCCTGCTCGGGGCCCTGCAGGGAAGGGTGAGGGCCACTCCGTCAGCCCAGTGCCCGCCACTCCGGGGGCAGCTTCCTCTTTCTCCTTGGGTGGTTTCTTTTTGAGAAAACAATCGTGGGGGGGTGGAGAGTGTCGCTTCTGATCCGAGGGGGGTTGGGCTGCCTCGCAGCTTCCTGTGCTCTGGGGTGTTCTCAGGCAGAGCCCCCACAAGCCCGCGCGTGACTCACTGGGCGCTGGGGGGTGCTGGGGTCCGGAGAGCGAGGCCGCCAGTCCCCGCCCGCCGCGTGGCCGCCCTGCCGGGCCGCTCTGAGTGGCCAGAGTGCCGTGTCCTGGGCTGTCCTGGGCTGAGGCTCGCCCACGGTGTCCACGCCACGCACGCCCACGAGCTTGCCAGCCTGCCGCCGTGGCCTAGAGCTGTCCTTGCGGAGTGGGGGGAGCTCCCTGGGGCGTGGGTGGCGCCACCCCGCACGGCCACCTGAGCCTCGGCCCGCAGGGAGGCCGAGGGGAGGCCAGTAAGGCAATCCTGCGTGTTCTCGCTGCCGTTTCCCGGCCGGGAGCCGGCCTGTCCCGGGCGCCGGTGACCTCCTGTCTCCTTGGCCCCGTCCGCAGGTCTTTGGCGCCGGTGGGTCGGGCCTGGGCTCTCGGGGCGGCTCAGAGACTCCGACCCTCGCCGGGGAGGGAAGGGCGCCAGGCTGCTCCTGGCCCCGCCACTTAGCGGAGAGCCAAGGCCAGACAGGCCTGTAACGGGAGCCTCCCCTGGGAGGGCCACAGGGCCGGGGCGCACAGGCTGGGCCCCTCCGCCCGCCCGCCTCCCTCCCTCCCGCTGCCACCCCCTCCCCGGCCCTGCAGCCTCAGACAGCCACGGCCTTGGGGGGAGAGGCTGGACCAGGCCCAGCGAGCAGCACATGACTCGGGGGTGTCGGGAAGCGAGGTCACCAGAGGCCGCCTTCCCACGGGGGGCGTGTCCGCTGCATGGAAAGTCCCGGAACCAGACTGCGAAGCCTGCAGAGCTGTGGTCCCCTCAGGCCCACGGCCTGGGCACCCCCATCCCTTTGGGGCTCGCAGTCTGGGGGCCGTAACCCCCGGGAATCACGGCAGGTGTGTGTGCTGAGGTGGTGGGTGTACGCGTGCATGTGTGTGTATTTGTATTGCTGTGTGTGTGAGCATGCGCGTGTATATGTGAATGTAGACGTGTGTATGTGTGAGAGCACGTGTATGTGAGTGTGTGTGGGCACATGAGAGTGCATGTGTGCATGTCACCATTGTAAGTGAGGTATGTGAGAACGTGATAACATGTGTATGTATGAGACCACGTCTGTGTGCATGTGCACATGCATTGTAAGTGAGGTATGTGAGAACGTGATAACATGTGTATGTATGAGACCACGTCTGTGTGCATGTGCACATGGAAGTGTACATGTGTATGTGTGTGTATTTGTGTTGCTGTGTGTGTGAGCATGTGTGCATGTATATGTGAATGTAGACATGTGTGAGAGCACATGTACGTGAGTGTATGTGGGCACATGGGAGTGCATGTGTGTGTGTCATCATTGTGAGGTGTGTGAGAGTGATGACATGCATGTATAAGAGCACACCTGTGTGTGCATGTGCATATGAAGTATATGTGTGCATGCATGTGTGTGCATGCACATGTGTGTGCACGTGAGGCTGTTGCATGTGCTCCATGTGCTCGTGCGTGTGTCTGTCACCTGCTTCCCATTCCCGGCATCTGTCTGTGCCGGTCCCTTAGTGAGTCGAGCGTCCCTGGCACTTTCCGTTGCCTGGGAGCAGAGTGAGACCGCGTGCTGGCGAGGTGCTGGCGGCGTGTCCCTGCGCAGGCTGTCATCAGCACCAGGGCCCACTGGGTCACGATGAGCCTAGGACCACCAGCCCTGGCTCCTGCCCAGGCCCGCTTTCCCACGCAGCGAAGGGCCATTGGTCCTGCAGCGTCTGGAACCCTCACCTGGCCACCCCTGCGAGTTCCCAAATCTTTTCTGTGTTCCCAAGGTCATCTTCGCCTCTCTGAACCGTGGGGCTGATGGGTGAGGGTGGGGAGCATTGCTGTCCTGCTGGGGTGGGGACTCACCTGTGCAGGTGGGCTCTGGCCTGCAGGTGCCCTGGGCCTCATCTGTTCACGGGCAGTGTCTGCCGGCTCCCCGAGGAGGAGCCTCGTGGAGGAGGGGAAGTGGGACTGATGTCACGTGGTGTGTGTTGGGGACCCCAGCACTGGGGTGACTGTGCCTCCACCTCTGCACCCCCTCCCGCGGGCCGAGGACAGACACGGCCTGAGCGTGACATCAGCTAGAGCAACGGGCATCTTTTCGGTGCGGGAGGCAGAGGGCGGCCTCTGGGTAACTGGCGAGGGGACCCAGCTTCTCCCCCAGGCAGGTGCATGCCCAGGGCAGACCCCTTCCCTGCCCTGCCCTCCCCATCCCCCGAGAATGCAAGTGCGCATGTCTCAGCCGCAGGGTGGCCGTCTCGGCCGTGGGCAGCTCTTGCTCAATGTCCCTCTGTTTTCTCCCGGAATGTGCTACTGTCGCGCCCAGAACTTGCTGTCCCAAGCACAGTCTCACTTCGTCAGCTCGTGCCTCCGGGGACCCCACTTGCTTTCATTTGCTCAGTTGCTGGATTTTAGGGCACACGCAGCTGCAGAGTGTGGAGGTCAGGACAAGGGTCAGGGGTCATTGGTTGACCCTCACGGGCTTGGAAGTTTATTCCACTTCAAACTAACTGGTGCCAGAAGTGGCTTTACGGGGTGCTCCTGGGCCCCGTGGGGGGCCTGCAGGCAGGGTGGCATCCCTGCCAGCCGTTTGTCCTCTGCCCCAGGCCTGGAGTGCAGACAGCCCCTGGAGACCTTCCTTCCCTGGAGGTCTCCCATGCTGGGGGTGGGGGGCAGACCCCACCCTTGCAGGCAGGCCCGGGCGCTGGCTGCTGGGCCCTAACGCAGCTCACGGCCCTGCCTGGCTCAGCCGGCTCCCCTTGCTCCTCCGCAGCCGTTTGCGGGAATGGCCAGGACATCTGAGGGCCAAGCCCAGGAGGGAAGAGACCGTGCCCAGAGACAGGGCGATGCAGGCCCTGTGACCTGACCAAGGCTTGGGGGCCTGCCTGCTCCAGGACACCGCCTGGGGGGCGCTTTCCATGCCTGGCCATGTCATGGCCCCCGGTCACGGGCAGGACAGCAGGCCTGGGTCTGCCTGGTGGGCCTTGCCGTGAGCTGGGCGACCGCAGCTGAATTCCAGACCCCACCTGCTTGTCTGGTCTGTGGTCAGAGGGGCCATCCTCGTCCCACTGCCAGGATGCTTGCCATGTACACCTGCAGCCTGCACAGCTCACCTGCAGCCTGCACAGCTCACCTGCAGCCTGCACAGCTCACCTGCAGCCTGCACAGCTCACCTGCAGCTCACACAGCTCACCTGCAGCCTGCATAACTCATCTGCAACCTGCACATCTCACCTACAGCTCCCACAGCTCACCTGCAGCCTGCATAACTCATCTGCAGGTCGCTCGCACAGCTCACCTGCAGCTCGCACAGCTCACCCACAGCTTGCACAGCTCACCTGCAGCTCACAACTCACCTGCAGCTCCCACAGCTCACCTGCAGCTCACAACTCACCTTTAACTCACACAGCTCACCTGCAGCCTGCATAACTCACCTGCAGGTCGCTCACACAGCTCACCCACAGCTTGCACAGCTCACCTGCAGCTCACAACTCACCTTTAGCTCGCACAGCTCACCTGCAGCCTGCATAACTCACCTGCAGGTCACTCACACAGCTCACCCACAGCTTGCACAGCTCACCTGCAGCTCATGACTCACTTTCAGCTCCCACAGCTCACCTGCAGCTCCCACAGCTCACCTGCAGCTCACAACTCACCTGCAGCTCATACAGCTCTTCTGCAGCTCCCAACTCACCTACAGCTCACAGCTCACAGCTCACCTATAGCTCATACAGCTCATCTGCAGCTCACACAACTCACCTGTAGCTCACACAGCTCACAGCACACCTGCACCTCACCCAGTTCACCTGTAGCTCATAATCACCTGCAACTCACACAGCTCACCTGCAGCTCACCTTCCCTTCTGGAGAGGGGACAGCCCTGGCACGGGCTTGGCCGGGAGGAGTCACAGTCCTGGCTGACAGCAAGGTGAGCCTGTGCTTCACAGGGACAAGAGATGTGGGAAGAACCAGGCTGAGGCAGAGGCCAGAGGTGGCCCGTGCGGCTGAGGGTCTCAGCAGGGAGGAAGACAGGGGCCGCTCTCAGCGCTGGCAGCGTTGGTGGGCCCAGCGAGCAGGGCGCATCTGTCCAAACCCAGCACACGCGCGTCCCCTCGCCCAGGCCGAGTCTCATAGAAGAGAAACTAAACCCCGTGGGCTCTGCTGGGGGCTGTCCTGCAGTGTCCCAGGGAGGGGTGGCAGCTGTGGGGGACACGCACCTGACCTTGGCCAGTTAGCCCTGCGCTCCTGGGTGCTGCATGTCCGTCCACTCTGCGTACGCTGGATCCTGTTTGGGAATAAAAGGAAAAGGCGGAAAATGCGAGTCTCTGGCCAGTCCCCCAGGCCAGAGCAGGGCCCCCAGCCTTCACAGGCAGAGGGGACGGCTGGGCACCCCCCGCCCACCCGCAGAGCCCGGAGCTCTTGAGCTGCGGCGTCTGACGCGGGGTGTTCGCAGAGAGCTCCCCGCGAGGCCCGGGCGTGGCTGGGCCTGCTGACTAGACGCTGCTGGTCGTCCGGGCGTGCCCGGCGTGGTGAGGTTGGACGGGCCTGGCGCTCGCTGTCCACCGTCCTCAGTCGTGGTGGGTCGTCGCCTCTGTAACGCAGGACGAACAGGTGTAAAGAGCATTTCTGTAACAGGTGAGTCGAGCATTTCCAAACCCACAATGGGAGGTGAGTCAGAAACGGGCTTGTCTTGGGGGGGAGATGAGTCTTGCTGGGGGTTGGTGCCGTGACCTCCACCCAGACCATGTCAGACACCTGCCCCGAGGAGGACGCCGGCCATGCGTCACCAGAGCAGGTGCCCTTGGCCGGGCCCCATGTGCCTTGTGCCCCCTGACTGGGGACAACGGTGTTGGATCGTGTGTTCCAGGCTGTGGGGTGGGGGCTTGGCCAAGGACCCCCAACCTGGCTGCCAGGATCCACCCCCACCCAGCCTGGCAGAGGCCACAGCTGCAAGGCACCCGGCACCCAGGGTGCCTCCGGGCCTGCCCCGAGAGTGTCCTCCACTGGGGTCTGTCCCCAGGGCCTGCGGGTCGTCACAAGTGTGCAGAGTGAGGAAGGAGGAGATGCCACCCCAGTGGCCGGCCTGGTGACGCAGGGGGCTGGCAGGGTGTGCAGTGGCCTTCAGGGCGCCCCACGAGTGGGGTGGGGAGAAGGACCTTGGGTGCGGGCTCTGGCGGTCCCTGCGCTTCACAGCCTGAGCGTTTCAGAGTCAAGGTTTCCTTTGTTCAGTCGTAATGTGGCCGTCTCAAAAAACACGGGCTCCGATTTGAGTGCGTTTAAGCGTAAAGGTGATTACGGGAAACCTTAGCAGTGCGAGTCATCCAGGTAACGTGGCCGTGGCGGCGACCTTCGCTTTAGGGAGAAGCAGGTGCACGCTCAGGTGGAAGCACGTGGCCTTCTCTCGGCTGTGGTGGAGTCGGGGCGGCCACATTACAGGGGCGACCGCGGTTGGGGCTGGCTCCAGGCTCCATTGTGACCACGTAGAAACACGTCCACGTCTCCCACGTGGGCACCTGTGACGGCACGTGAACGCTCTGCTCCTGAAACTTAGGGAAAATGTGCTCTCTTCAAAGGAATTAAGGGTGACGTTCCGGTTGCAGACTGTCTGGTGAGCAGAGGAAACGCTCATGCTGCACCGCAAACGCGTGTGCTCGGCCCGTCTCTGACTCGGAGGGTTTGCCGAGGTTCGAGGGCTCTGCAGTTCTCTCTGAATTTCCCCATTTCCTGCGCTTCACGTCTGTGACTCTGAAAGCAGCAAAATGAAAACCGAAGGCAGAAAGCGCCCTGCCCCCCCCCCACATGCGTGGCGTCCCCGTGTGCGCCTTTTGAGCGTCAACTTGCAGCCCAGTCCTCCCGCACGCGTCTTCGCGTCCCTCTGACTTCACGCCGTCCTGTGAGTGAGCGACGCGTGTTCACCCAGCCGGACCGAGTGGTCTCGCTGCCGTTTCTCACCTCCCGTGGCGGCCGGGGGGCCGCGCTACTTTCCGTTTCCTTTGAGTCTGTTGTCAGGACGACTCGGTTGTGCGTGTCCCCCGTTGCAGCTGGGGGTGCTGGTGGCCACGGGAACACGGTGGTCTCCTCAGGTTGGTGAACGTGGTCGCCAGCGTGCGTTTTCCCGCTTGTGTGGCCGGCGCGGGGTCGGGGTGGACCCAGGTTCTCATGAGCGATGGCTTCGTGCTACCGAGAACCCAGCGGTGGCCAGACTTTGCCGTCTAAGAGGCCCGGGCAGGGGCTAGGCTGCGAGCCGGCGCCCCTGGGTGGGACGCTGGGTGCATGGTGGGTGGAGTGGCCCAGCCTGTGACCTTCCCCTGCAAAGAGAAACTTGAGCCCAGGGAGCCAGTGACTTTGTCGAAGGTCGTCCACGTGGGGCCGGCTCCCTCACGGGAGAATCTGAAACCTCCTGTTGTCCCGTCCCTCTCGCTCCCTCACCTGCCCCTGCGCCCACCTCCCTCCCTCCCAAACCCCATCCTGCCCTCCCTCCATTCCTGGGGCCACGTCAGGGCGTTGGCCTTTGAGCGTTCCCAGGACAAAGCGTCTTGGCGTCCCGACGGGA